AGGCGCCCCGGGAAGGTTTTTCTTGTCCGACTTTAATGCGTGGAAGAAGCAAATAACTAGAAAACGAAGTAGTATTAACTATCACTAATTCGTTAATTTATTTTGTGAGTTCAAACAAAGCAAAACTTACCGGGGTGGCAACAAGCGAGAGGTCCGGCAGACACCGTGGTGGCGGCAGCACCCACATGAGGCACGTCGCCAGCAGGATGGAGGCCGTCCACCTCAAACTGCCTCGGCGTGCTCCCTGCATCTGCAAAAGGTGCGAACGCGAGTCCTCAGGAACCATAGCGAGGGAAGGGCGTGCGGCACGGCGGGGGGACCGCTCGCTCCCAAGCATCAAGTCTCGGCCAGAGCAGCCGGGCCAGCTCTAGAGTCTGCATCACAGCCGCCCGTCTGCCCGCTTTCACGTCTGCAAGTGTTCTTTAGCTTTGAGAATTACATTCATTCACACGATCAAATCAGTCACCCAACAGGAAAATCAGCTGAGTCCCAGAACTCACCTGGTTGCTGCTAATCGTTTGAACTGTATTTAAAATCATGATTTAATGAGCCTAACAAGGGGGAGTCACAGGGATTTTGAAAAGTTTACTAAGCCATTTAAATGTTCAAAATATTCTACCTTTCACACTTAGCGATGAAGCTCACGAAACACGATGACAGCTTATATACAAAGCGGGGCCATGGCCAGGATACCATTTCTAGACTCTTTAAGCTTGTAGTATTTCACCTCTATTCTTTAATTAAACAGCAGGCTTTCTAAATCTGAGGCAGTCAATAGAATCAGTGTAGTTCAAACAAAACTAACTTAGCATGCTCGTGTTCCATAAAAGGAGAAACAAAAAAAATCATTTTAAATCTGAGGCAATCCCAAAAGTGGTAAACTGAATTGAGGATTCAATTAGAGGCTTAGCGCCCACTCCGAAATGGTGAACTATCCAGAAACATTTAACGAACCGAACTCCGAACCCCCCACCCCCCGAAAATCTTTGTGATTTAAAAATGAGGCAGTACGTTAATATCTGTGGTTTTACCACAAAAATCAAAAAGTCCTAATCTGTAACAGCTTCGCTTTTTATGACCGTGGTTATGTTTCACTAGAACTAAGCTTTCTACATTCTTAACTTCTAAAAACCAGGACTCCCATTTGAACTTACATTCAAAAGATGATCCAAATTCCTCATTGTCCTTAAAAGGTAGCTTGTCTGGATCTGAAAGTTCTCCTTGTTCTTCAAGTTCTGTCTGTCTTTGATGAAGACTAGATTGGAAGAATAAAATTCAAGGATGTCACGTTGAAGGAATATAAAACCCCAGAGCACAGGATGACGCAAACTCTTTGGGACTCAAACTGTTGCAGAAAAGCAGTTTTCCCTAGACTCACAGACAACAAGGGCTACACTGCAGTGGGCACCCCCCACGCACTGGCTGGGAGAGAAGTGCTACCCTCATCACCATGCTGTTCCCGGGAGCAGTTTATTTTTTTTTTTTTTCAACGTTTATTTATTTTTAGGACAGAGAGAGACAGAGCATGAATGGGGGAGGGGCAGAGAGAGAGGGAGACACAGAATCGGAAGCAGGCTCCAGGCTCTGAGCCACCAGCCCAGAGCCTGACACGGGGCTCAAACTCGCGGACCGCGAGATCGTGACCTGGCTGAAGTCGGACGCTTAACCGACTGCGCCACCCAGGCGCCCCATGGGAGCAGTTTATTTCTTAAAGAACCCGAAAATGTTTTGAAAAGCAATTGTGCACACCGCCAGCACGTGCCGGCTGAGAGTGCTACACTCCAAGCCCCCCGTAAACTAAAGAGCCCTCCCTCAGCACACGTGTCTCGTCTTTCTTTTTGGCTTTATTACAAGAGTGATCTAAAAAACCATTAACACGATTTAGGATAATAGGCACACGTGGCAATTTTCAACTCTGTACAGTAAAATGGAATCCACATGCAGAAGCCCAGAATGAAGGAGTCAGCATCTCCTGCCATGGGGACTAGGCATCAACAGGGGTCCCACAGGAGACCCGAATCCCAGACTGAGCCACCCACCCCTGTGCTCCTGAACACACCCACCCACGCCTGCTTAAGCAGTCGTACCCCAGGACCCACTACCAATTGAGGGTTTACTTCCATTATATGCAAATTGCAACTTCTTAAGATCAGGAACAAGCCAAGGAGGTCCACTCTTCCCACTTTGATTCAACATAGTACCAGAAGTCCTAGCCACAGCAATCCGATGAGAAAAGGCATCCATGGGGCACCTGGGGGGCTCAATCGGTTAAGCAGCTGACTTTGGCTCAGGTCATGAGCTCATGGTTCGTGAGTTCAGGCCCCGCGTTGGGCTCTGTGCTGACAGCTCAGAGCCTGGAGCCTGCTTCAGATTCTGTGTCTCCCTCTCTCTCTCTCTCTCTGTCCCTCCCCGACTTGTGCACATGCTCTCTCTTTCTCTGTCTCTCTCAAAAACAAACAAAGGCATCCACATTGGAAAGGAAGAAGTCAACGGTCACTCTCTGCAGACAACATGATCCTATCCATAGAAAACCCTAGAGACTCCACCAAAAAACTATTGGAATAAATGGATTCAGTGAAGTTGCAGGATAGAAAAATACCCAGAAATCAGTTGCATTTATGTACGCTATTAATGAAGTAGTACAAAAACATAAGTAACTCCATTTACGATTGCACCAAAAATAGTAAAATACCTAGAAATAAATCTAACCAAGGAGCTGAAAGACCTGTACTTGGAAAACTATACAACACTGATAAAAGAAACTGAAGAGGACACCAACAGAAAGCCAGTCCATGCTCATGGATTGTGAGAAGTAATGTTTTCAAATGTCCCTGCTACCCCAAGCAATCTACAGATTCAATGCAATCCCTATCGAAATACAAACAGCATTCTAAAAATAATCTTATAATGTTTATTTTTGAGAGAATGAGAGAGAATCCAAAGCAGGCTCCGGGCTCTGAACTGTGTACACAGAGCCCGACATGCGGCTGCAACCCACAAACTGTGAGATCATGACACAAGCCAAAGTCGGATGCTCAACCGACTGAGCCCCCTAGGTGCCCCCCCAACAGCATCTTTAATAAAACTCGAATACTAAGATTTGTATGGAGCCACAGAAGACCCCAAAGGGCCAAAGCAATCTTGAGAAAAAAGATCAAAGCTGGAGGGATCACAATCCCAGATTTCAAGATATGCTGGAAAGCTATAGTAATCAAAACCATATGGCACTGACAGAAATAGACACACACGTCCATCAAACAGAATAGAGAGCCCAAAAAGAAATTCAAGTTAATATGGCCCATTAATCTGACATACGAGGCAACAATGTACAATGGGGAAAGACAGCCTCTTCAGTAAATGATGCTGGGAAAACCGGACAGCTACACGCAAAACAAAGAAACTGGACCACTTTCTTATACCCAACACAAAAATCAACTCAAAAGAAGCTAAGGACCTAAACCTCAGACCTGAATCCATAGAAATCCTCAAAGTGAGCACAGGCAGGAATTTCTGTGACAGCAGCCTTCGCAACATTTTTCTAGGTAGGTCTCCTGAGGCAAGAGAAAAAAAAAAATAAACCACTGGGACTACATCAAAATAAAAAGCTTCTCCACAGCTTAAAAAAAAAAAAGCCATCACCAAACAAAAGGCATCCTACCGAATGGGAGAAGAGATTTGTAAATGATAAATCCAATGATGTCCAAAACATGTAGGGGCACCTGGCTGGCTCAGTCTGTTAAGTGTCAGACTCTTGCTTTTGGCTCAGGTCATGATGTCACAGTCGTGAGATCAAGCTCTGTGTAGGGCTCTGTGCTGGCACAGAGCCCGCTTAAGATTCTCTCTCCCTCTTCCTCTGCCCCTCTCCTACTCTCTCAAAAAAGAAAACTAAAATATGTAAAGCACTTATACAACTCAACACCAATAATCCAAATAATCCCACCAAAAAGGCCGGACTACCTGAAGAGACAGCTCCCAAAGACGACACGCAGATGGCAAAAAGACACAGGAAAAGATGCCCAACATCACTCATCATCAGGAAAACGCAAATTAAAACTACAAGGAGAGGGGCGCCTGGGTGGCTCAGTCGCTTAAGTGTCCGACTTCGGCTCAGGTCATGATCTCACGGTCTGTGAGTTCGAGCCCCGCGTCAGGCTCTGTGCTGACAGCTCAGAGCCTGGAGCCTGTTTCAGATTCTGTGTCTCCCTCTCTCTCTGCCCCTCCCCTGTTCACGCTCTGTCTCTGTCTCAAAAATAAAAAAACGTTAAAACTACAAGGAGAGATCAGGTGACATGTGTCAGAATGGCTAGAATCAAAACGCCAAGTACCACCAAGTGTCGGTGAGGGTGTAGAGAGAAAGGAACCCTCCAGCACTGTTGATGGGAAAGCCAAGTGGTGCAGCGACTGAAAAACGATACGGAGCTTCCTCAAACGATTAAAAATACAATTACCGGATCATCTAGCAATTCCACTCTTGGGTATTTATGCAAAGACAACAAATACTAATTTGCAGACATCTATGCACCCCTCTATTTACAGCAGCATTACTTACAATAGCCAAGATCAGAAGCAACCCGAGTATCTACTGACTGAAGAATGGATAAAGAAACGTGGGTGTGTAAGCATGTATACACACACCTATACCTAGCGGGATATTAGCCATAATAAAGGATGCGATTTTTGCCATTTGCAACAACGTGCATGGACCTAGAGGGCATGATGCTAAATGAAATAAGTCAGACTGAGAAAGACAAATACCCTATGATTTCACTTCTATGTGGCATCTCAAGAATAAGTGAATAAGAAAGAGTAAGACCTCTAAATACAGAAAACAAACTGACAGTTGGGAGAGGGAGTGGAGGGGTGGGCAGAAGGGTGAAGGTGGGTGGGAGGTAAAGGCTTCCACTTAGGAAACGAGGAAGCCACGGGTATGAAAGGTACAGCACAGGGAATTCGCTCAAGGGGAGTCTAACAATACTGCATAGCAGCTACACTCGTGGGGAGCATAGCATAACGTCCAGAGTCCAATCACTTATCCTGTACACCTGAAACGAATCCAACATCGTGAGTCAACTATACTTGGGTCCAAAAAAAAATTAGAATATTGTTTATATTTTAAATGCCGAAATATCTGAGTGACTAACAATGTGTGAAAATGTTTTCAACTTTTTTTTATATTTTTTAGAGAGACAGAGACACAGAATGAGCAGGGGAGGGGCACAGAGAGCAGGAGACCCAAAATCCGAAGCAGGCTCCAGGCTCCCAAGCTGTCAGCACAGAGCCCGACACGAGGCTCAAACTCAAACCGTGAGATCATGACCTGAGCCGAAGTCAGACACTTAACCGACTGAGCCCTCCAGGGGACCCAAAAATTGTTTTCAACTGCATTTGTTTTTGCATGTTTTGTACATTGGTTTTATCTTTGTAAACTGAGTCTACTCTTGCAACTATGAAGATGTTTATTGACCCCATCGTCTCTATTCTACACGCCAAGCTTGGCAAACCAGTAGAAATTACTTACTTGCTAAAAGGAGTTATTTTCTCCAAGCAGGTTATTTAGAGGATTCTCAAAGATCATACGTCATCTTACAATCTGATTACAAATTCTGTACTGCCACGTGGTCTTTCATATCCCCCAAACCCCCAACAAGTCCAGCGTGAGCCCGGTGAGGCTACCCAGAGTGGGTGTGGCCGAGGGGAAGGCGGGGTTACCTGGCCTGCTCCGGAGGGCTGGGCAGCAGGTGGAGGGAAGGGCTGTGCCCGGACTCAGAGGGTGATGGCTGGGGCGTTGTCTCAGGACCAGGACTGCAGCCAGCAGCACCGGATCTGTCCCCACCTAAGGGGCAGAAAGCTTGACCATTACAAATTGCAAGGAGAAGGTAGCAACGTCGTTTCTGAACAGTTCTGTTACCTTCAAAAAGCTAACATTACCCTTGCAAACAGTTGGGTAGGACACATAGATGATCTACCAAACTGATGATTCAAGCACCTAAATACAACTACAGCAGTGACAAACATGCAACTCACCAGAGGTAAAGGGAAAGCCACCAGTCACTCAGCACAGGTCTGCACACCAAGGAAAATGGTAAAATGGGACACTACCCCACTACCTCCCTCGGCATCCCCGGCCCCGTGTGGGAGACGCCACCGTCAGCCAGACAAGGCAGGTTGAGACCGAGGACACGACTGCTGGAGCTCGGGCTCTGCCAGGCTCAGCTCCTGCTCCTTCCTGCCATCCCGGGCTGCACTCTCACTCGGTTCAGAGGCCCTCTGAGCACCAGAAGCTTCCAAATACAGAGCACCCCGCAACCCTCTTGGCAGCTCACCTTCCAGATACACTTTAGCAAGGAGGCTCCTTTTGGCCTTGGGCAGGGGAGTGGAGGAGAGGCGTCTGGAGGGCGTGCCCTCGCACGGCCGCGCCTCAGAAGCCGAAGCGCTGCTCCTGTCCTCCTCGGGTGTGCGTGCCAGAGGCGGCTCAGGGACAGCCGCGTCCTCTGCGGAAGTACGTCTTCCAGGGAAGCCGGAAGTGGCCTTTTTGAGCGTTCCTGTCGCGTGCAGGGGTGGCGGGCTCTTGGCTGAAGACCTTCCCGTGGGGCGTGGATGAACTCTTGGATGGGAAGTTCGGAAAGCTTTCTCCAAACGTTCGGCCTCTTGCTCTAGCTCTTTCACCCTTGCCTTGGTCTTGGCTACAAACTCCAGGTCAGAATCGGGGGAACTACTCCCGGTGCTCGCACTTGGGTCACTTGCAATCCTTGACAGAAGCATGCCTGCCATCAGCCTTTCCAGTCCGAAAGCATCTTTCAAGAAATCCCCGTTCAGGTCACCATTGTGAGGTACCACCACGTTGCCACCCATTAATCCGCTGATGGGCCGATCGAGCAGAGAATTCTTTGGGTTGCGGTACACCTCGTTCTCTAGGGCTATGGGTTACAAAACGACAGTGTGAGAAAGGATGGGAAAAGGTGGAGGATAGAGTTAAAAGAGATCAAGAGAATTCTTTTGCAAAAATCAAAGTATTCAGGACAAACTCGCACATTCAACACTTTCTGAAGCTGCAGTCATGATCAACATTTATCAAGAGAGTGCATGTACCAGCTATGGCTTCA